TCTCAAACTGTGGAGTTATAGTAAGACCTTTCTCGGTGATTCGCCTGACTATACGGATTGATGCGTGTAGGATCGCTAATATACTCACAGCGCATTGCTTCGTTGCTGTCAACAACCGTTCCCATGTTACTCAACCTGTTTTTTATGTCCTTTACACAATGAAGGAATTCCTCATCTTCGTCGTCGAATTGGTAAATGTCTAATAGGGATTCGTAGATTAGTATAGGAAAAATAAAATTGTAACGAAGATCAGCTACTTACCTGGTTTAAATTGCGGAATACCTGTCACCCCGTTATTGAGGCCGTACTGTTGCAATACCTCTTTCAAACTACGGTATGAGGAGAAAGGACGCTTCGGCATGGTCTTGAGGGCCTTGGCTTCTTTTGCGAGTTTCATAGCCGGTCCCATTTCCAATCCAGCCACCATGAACTTTTCTTCGGTCATATCAAGAAAGACCTGGCCATCGATTTTTCGTTTGCGGATAATAGCGAAGTCCTCATCGTCAAGCCTTAGGCCCTGCTCTTGCAGGTAAAGGACAAGTGTCTCAGTACTCCAGTTTTCGACTAAGAACGCATCGTGTTCGATTGTGGAAACAGACATGGTAGGTGAGTGTTGGGTTCGGAAAAAAATTTTTGGGGGAATAACTCCGTATAATCGAATATCCCAGTTATACTACCCGTCGATAATATTGAAGATGAAATAAAAACTACACCTGATTTAGTGGAATGTTTATTCTTCCGGAATTTCACAATCACCATATAAATATGTCGTTTCCATATCTCGAGCTATCCACAATTTCGTATAAGTGGATTAACACTTCTCTTTGTTTGTTTTATCCTATATATGCGATGCCTATAACTTTTCTACATCTGAATGTTATTTGCCTGCCCATTCTTTTTGTTTTGAGCTATACCAATCATATGGTGGTACCTTTATTTGTTCGGACACATTGGATAATCTCGAAATTTAGGATGTATTTTTTTTGGAATCGATAACTTAACCTCCAAACAGCATCCTCAATTTGAATTTTTCTTTTAGTGATAAAATATTCTGCTGAGTTGTTTCTAAAGGTTGATTAAATACCCATTTAAATCACTGGTTAGAAGATATTGAGACATTGTCCAACCATATAGATCATTAACATCTAGATAGAACAACCATTTTTTCACTTTTTTTCCCATCGTATCCCTCTAATCCTGGAATATTTGTTCTGACTATACACCTTCTAACAATGAAATTCCTCCTCTTTTCATAGCCATAAAGAAATCGTGCATATCATCTTGGTGTTTGTGAAATGATTCAAATTTAACTTTTGTTACCTTCATACACGCATTCCATGCTAGACCTGGTGCGATTAAATAATTTATTGGATCAAGCTTGAATGTTGAATAAGATGCTTTTTGAAAGGTTTCTAAAGTGTCTGCTAAAATTAATACATCAATTTATAAGATAGATATCATGATAATCATCAAAGTCTTGTATTCTGTTTCTTGTCAAACTATTCAGGCAAAGTCATAATTCTTTTAAGATATAGTATAAATTTTCTCACGTTCACATTCTTTGTTTTCACACCCATTCTTGCAATAATTATATCTATCTAAATCACTATTAAAATTTTTACAAAATCTTTACATAGTAATAGTTATGTCTCATTAAATTTTATTTTGCAATTTATTCAATTATATAAAAATATCTATTACTTTTGTTATTTCTTGTATAAAATAATGAAAATTATAATCATTTCTATTATTAAAATTTATTATTTCTAGATTAATTTATAATTTAAGATTGTAACTACTATTTAATACTTTTTTTTTTTTTCTATTTATTTTATTTTTTTTATCAGACTAATTATGTGTGCTTTATTAAATATTAGTATACTATACATGTAAAATAAATTGCTAAAGCTAAATCTCTAAGTGTAAATTTGAAAATGATCCTTCTTATAAGTTCTGACCGAAGTTAAAACCCTAATCATCTTATTTATACTTTACTTCTTCTAGAAAGGTTTGTTTCAAACCTTCATCTTCAAGTTTTTCTTTTTCCTGTAAGGACCTTTTTATGCAACTACTATATTATACTTCCTGAAACTTTTTTATTATATGATTATAATCTAATATCTTGTTTGTTTTTTTTTTTTGATAATATTGTTTTATAATATACTATATATATACAGTATATATTACATATATTATATACTTTTCTTTATTTATTATTTAATATTTCTTAAATTAATTCTTTTTTTCTATAATATTTCCTATATAAAGCTTCAAATATTTTTAATTTTTGAATCAAATACTCAAATTTTATTGTTTTTTTTTAATCCACAATCATGCCATAATAACATGTCTTTATTGAGATATTGAAAGATTCCACAATGTTTATAGACTTTCACAAAATGACTAACTCATCATTGTACATTATTGATTAAAGGACTACACTACTAAAAAAATATAAGAAGTCTACTAAGCTAATTTGGATTAAACAAAACTAAGTCTAAACTAGATATTCTAAGTCAGATTTTGGGAACAATATTACACTTTTCTAATAGTTTGGCATTAACTTTTAAGTTAACCAAGATCATTACCAACAGTTTGTTACTGTCAATTATTCTGAAAAATGATGAATTGCTAAAGTTAGTACTGGGAAGAAAAGAAAAAGGAAATACAATTCAAAGCCCTCCAAAAGGTTCTTGCTTTATTTCACAGTTTTTTTTCTAAAGAGATTTATTTGATTAAAATATTCTCTAAGCTTCATGACATTTGAGAAACTTAACTATTCCTAAAAGTAACTTTAAGAAGAACATTTAAGAAACTTATTCTTTTGTTAATGCATAGATTCGCTTAATACTACTGAAGCCAGTACTATATTACAGAAGAGTTTGCTTGACCAGAATAAAGAAGTCTTTTCAAGAACTTTGCTTAACTAGGATAGAAACATAGAGATCTCAGCTTTTGTTCAAGAAAGTCTTTTCTCCACTTGAGAAATTTAATGAGAGATGGGAGTTGGATCTTCTTTTTCTACCTATTGCTTACCTTTCAGTATCATAATTGTTTCCTGGAGATTAAATATACATGATTGGAGGGGACACTTTTTTTAGAACTTTCTTTTCTACATCATCAATGATTTATTGAGACATGTAGGTGTAACTAATAGGAGCTTGTTTATATTTCAAATCTGATGTGTTTCATATTAGTCAATCACCTTTGATGAGAATTTGTGCTACCCAAAATTCAGAATCAAACTGAGGTAGGTAAAATTCTTCAGAAAACTATAAAAATGAAAGCTCTAAAAGAGCCAAGATAGTTAAAAAGAAAGAAAATAAGTTTTTTTGCTACAGAAAACCTCTATAAGCCTTTTATTTCAAATGTTAGAAAGACCTTTAGGTACTTCACAATTAGTTCTTCTTCCTTTGGAAACTTTCTTACTATTGATATCAAAGATGTTACTTGACTTTTCTTGATTACTAGGGATCAAGTTTTTAAGTAAAGATGTTTGTAAACAATAGAGAAAAAGTAGAAGTGACTCTTGAAGTCATACTTCAAGTTGTTTTAAGGAAAGTATTGAAACTTTATTAATAAGGAAGAGTAAAAACTTCTTGCAAACATCTTTTTTTTGTGTAATCAGAAAATCAGTGAAAAGAGTTTTGTCAATATGCATACTTAAATTTTATTGTATTCTAGATTATAGAATTTTTTTTTATACTTTTCATATTTATTTATTATTTGATACTGCATTTATAATTTTGATATCATTTTTTTACATAAAAATAAAATGTAAAGTTTATTTTTTAAAGATTTTTTATTAAATTTTTTATTAAGTTTTTTGATTTTTGATTAATTACTTTTTGTATTATTTTATTTAAACATCATATTATATATTTATATAAAACTATTATTTGTACTATTTCTTTTCTATTATTTTCTTTATTATTTTTTTTACTTTAATCTCTTTAGTTTTTAAATTTATGGAAATTAAATAAAATTTTATTAATATGTTTTTAATATATTTAACTTTATATAATTCTTATTTTCTTTAGAAAAAATTAATAATTATAACGTTTTTTAAATTTTAAATATATTGATATATACTTTTTTAATAAATTTAATCTATTATATATAAAGATAAGTTTCTAAAAGAAGAGACAGAAACAGAAATCAAATATTTTTTATTAAAAAACTTTAAAGTTTTGAAATTAATAATTATAAAAAAATTACTTATAATAATTATTTATTATTTAAATCATTGATTTAAAATATTTTTTTAAAAAAAATTTTTTTTAACCCATAGTCAGATTAGCATAGCATATTTTTATTGTATATATATAAAGATATTTACAAGATATTTTAATTTTCATATACTAACTCACCCATTGTCAAAAACCTATTTCTCTAGATACAACTTAGGAAATGATATTTCATTTCTTTACTAACTTAGATAAATCCTTTGATCAAAAATTTTTTTTTTTTTTTTAACCCACAATCATGTCACAATGGTGTGTTTTTATTGAGATTTTGAGAAATACTTAAATATTTTACAGACTTTCACAAAGTGATTAACTTATCATTGCACATTATTAGTTAAAGGACTATACTACTTAAAAAATATGAGGAGTTTACTAAGCTAGTTTGGACTAAACAAA